AAAATCGGGCACTGCCTCGAAACGCAGCCGTTCGTTAAAACCCGGTGCTTGAAAACGCTCCGGTTTCCACCCCGAGAAGCCTCTAAAAAGCCAAACCTGCCCCGTTTGGGTCGCCGTCCCCGCCGCCCCGTCCGGTGCGGGGCTGTGCGGGATGCTCTCCGCACTCCCCAGCGGTTTGCCCTTCCCCAGAAAACACCTTTCCTCCCCCTCACCTCTCCGCCTTCCTAAAATCGGGAATTAAAAGCCGGGGGGGGGGGGGGGCTTCCTTCCTTCCTTCCTTCCTTCCTTCCTTCCTTCCTTCCTTCCTTCCTTCCTTCCTTCCTTCCTTCCTTCCTTCCTTCCTTCCTTCCTTCCTTCCTTCCTTCCTTCCTTCCTTCCTTCCTTCCTTCCTTCCTTCCTTCCTTCCTTCCTTCCTTCCTTCCTTCCTTCCTTCCTTCCTTCCTTCCTTCCTTCCTTCCTTCCTTCCTTCCTTCCTTCCTTCCTTCCTTCCTTCCTTCCTTCCTTCCTTCCTTCCTTCCTTCCTTCCTTCCTTCCTTCCTTCCTTCCTTCCTTCCTTCCTTCCTTCCTTCCTCTTTCTCTATTTTCTTCTTCCCTCCTTCCTTGCTTCCTCTTTTTCTCTTATTCTTTTTTCCTTTCTGTCTTTCTCTTATTCTTCTCTCTCTCTCTTTCTTTCTTTCTTTCTTCCTTTCTTCCTTTCTTTCTTTTTCTTTCTCTTTCTCTCTCTCTCTCTCTCTCTTTCTCTTTTCTTTTTTTCCTTTCTTTCTCTCCCTTTCCCTCTCCCTCTCTCCCTCCTCCTGTCTCTCCCCAGCACGAACAAAGTCAGAGCCGCACGGGAGGTTGGAGGCACCAGGCAATGGCAGGAGATGCGCTGCCCTTTTCCGAAACGCCTTCCCCCTGCGATGCTCCCAGCGCCTGGGATTTCACCTCCCGTTACTTTCCCAAATCCGAGCCCCCCCGCCCCATCCCGGGAGGGGGACACCCGGTGCGGGCGGGACTGTCCCCCCCGGGCCGAG